ACTCTAGCATTTCTGGCTGTGGCCATCTTGAGCAAGGGCAGATCATTTACAGTGAGGAACAGAAGTATTTGAACACCCTGCGATTTTGCAAGTTCTCCCACTTAGAAATCATGGAGGGGTCTGAAATTCACATTGTAGGTACATTCCCACTCTGAGAGACAGAATCTTTTAAAAAAATTCAGGAAATCACATTGTATGATTTTTAAAGAATTTGTCTTGCACTGCTGAACATAAGTATTTGAACACCTGAGAAAATCAGTGTTAATCTTTGGTACAGAAGCCTTTGTTTGCAATTACAGAGGTCAAACGTTTCCTGTAGCTCTTGACCAGGTTTGCACACACTGCAACAGGGATTTTGGCCCACTCCTCCACACAGATCTCCTCTAGATCTGTCAGGTTTCGGGGCTGTCGCTGAGCAACATGAAGTTTCAGCTCCCTCCAAAGATGTTCTATTGGATTTAGGTCTGGAGACTGGCTAGGCCACTCCAGAACCTTGATATGCTTCTTACGGAGCCACTCATTGGTTATCCCGGATTTGTGCTTCGGGTCGTTGTCATGTTGGAAGACCCAGCCACGACCCATCTTCAATGCTCTGACAAAATCTCACAATAAATGGCCCCATTCATCCTCTCCTTAATACAGTGCAGTCGCCCTGTCCCCTTCGCAGAAAAGCACCCCAAAGCATGATGTTACGACCCCCATGCTTCACAGTAGGGATGGTGTTCTTGGGATGCAACTCATCCTTCTTTTTTTTCCAAACACGACGAGTGAAGTTTAGACTACTTTGGTCTCATCTGACCACATGACTTTCTCCCATACCTCCTCTGGATCATCCAGATGGTCATTGGCAAACTTCAGACGGGCCTGGACATGCGATGACTTGAGCAGGGGAACCTTCCGTGCAATGCATGATTTGAAACCATGACGGCATGGTGTTCTACCGACAGTGACCTTTGAAACTGTGGTCCCAGCTCTCTTCATGTCATTGACCAGCTCCTCCCTTGTAGTTCTGGGCTGATTCCTCACCTTTCTTATCATCAGTGATATCCCACGAGGTGAGATCTTGCATGGAGCCCCAGTCCGAGGGAGACTGACAGTCATCTTTAGCCTCTTCCATTTTCTAACAATTGCTCCAACAGTTGATCTATTTTCACCAAGCTGCTTGGCAATTGCCCCGTAGCCCTTTCCAGCCTTATGGAGGTCCACAATTTTTGTCTCTGGTTTCTTTTGACAGCTCTTTAGTCTTGCCCATGGTAGTAGTTGGTGTCTGACTGACTGTGGGGTGGACAGGTGTCTTTAAAGAGCTCAGACAGGTGCTACTAAGTTAGATTAATGAGTGGAGTAGAGGTGGACTTTTTAAAAGGCACAGTAACAGGTCTTTGAGAGCCAGAATTCTTGCTGTTTCTTAGGTGTTCAAATACTTATGATCAGCAGTGCAAGACAAATAAATTCTTTAAAAATCATACAATGTGATTTCCTGAATTTGTTTTTAAATTCTGTCTCTCAGAGTGGGAATGCACCTACAACATGAATTTCAGAACCCGCCATGATTTCTAAGTGGGAGAACTTGCAAAATCACAGGGTGTTTAAATATTTCTGTTCCTCACTGTATGTAGCATTGACTTCCTGTAACCCCTCTGTCCTTAGCTCAGACATGCAGGCAGGATGGTGTGCTGAGCTGAGAAAACCCCTCCTCCCCTCCTGAAGACTCCTGGGATGTATGACATAATTTGCCAAGGCATGGAAACCAGGAAGAAATTGATGAAATCATTCCTGTCTTTTGATCACCAGACTAATGGGCCAAAACTGTAACTCCCTTGACTGGTAAAACAATGAACATATAAATATTTCTATATATTAAAAAATATGTTACCTTAACATTTCAAATTCCTGATGTGTCTGTTACACTATATACTTGTGTTAAAGAGTATCATGTTCTCTTTGTATTGCTTCCTTTGTGTGAAATACCTGGGGATCCTGTCAGTCCCTCTGCTTTCCCATTTCAAACTGACTATGCTAGGCATGAAGCATATCCATCGCAGTGTGGTCAGTTTTCTGACTGTACTGGGAACAGGGGCGGACTGACAACTCATGGGGCCCCCGGGCAACAGGGAATCATGGGGCCCCTGTGCCCTTGCCCAAACTCAAAAAAGCCTATGAAAAAGGTACCAGGGGCATCTCATGGGGCCCCCTACTGACCCCGGGCCCTCCGGCAGTGCCCGAGTTTCTAAATGGTCGGTCCGCCCCTGACTGGGAGCATGTATATAAAAAGAAAAACAAAAAAGTATTTATATTTTTAACATCTATACACAAACATTTTGGTACGGGTTCACGTATACTTTAATATTAAAGCTGAATTCCACCTTTCGACAATTACATGTCCCTCATGACCCCCCTACCTCCTACCCTAAGCATTTCCCACCACATCCATGTCCATATATACCCTTTTTTTGAAGCTTGCAGCAGAGCATTCCAGAGGAAGCCTGGGAAAGTCCTGTTTGGGATTTATAGGTCTTCCAGGTTACTCTCATATACATTTAGGGATTTCTCATCCATGGTTCAATGCAGGGTTTACTCCTCACTCCACTGGCAATTTATATGTGGAGGCTGACGAGCAGTATACTTGCTCAGCCTGTTAATTAGGACTGGTATTTTTGTGTAGATAGTGCCTGGAGATGGCTAGGCTTTTGTTTTGGTATCTTTTTTTTTGCCTTTTTCATTTTCTGAACCACTGTACAGCACCTGGCCACAGTCTTGTAAATATCACCTATAAACACCACACTGTTTGTCACTACTTCATTGGATTTGGTATCTGTGCCTGAAAGAATGCTTACCCCAGGGGGCTTACAGTATGTACCAGTTACTGATCCCCAGCTCACAAGCTGTATTAACATCCATTGGTCTTTCTTTTTCCCATCTAGCAGAGTCAGTAGGTGGTACTTAGTGATGTACTCTGCACCGCTGTGCTGTGTTCTCTGGAATATCTTAAAGTTAAACTTTATTTAAACAATGAGTTATCTTACATTACTTAGATCTAAACCCAAACACACAAATATCTTATGGTCTTTGATATGCTAATATAATTTGAAATCCTGGCTCTGAACTCCTTGTACAAGCACTTTTTTTTATAGGGAGACAACACTCCACATTCCTTAATTGGGCTCAGGCATTTTCATGCTATCACATCCGGTGAGACTATAAGTAACTATGAGGATGTCCATTTCAAATCAATAGTCCACTGTTTCGCCCATCATAAAGGCCATCCTAAGTAATGGCATGCAACAGGCTAATGGAGTAAGTGCTTAAAGTCCAATGTTGACTGCAAAGAAATTGCAGCAGATCATCAGCATGGAAACATTTGAAAACTGTATTTTCTAAAAAAAAACAAAAGAAACCAATAACAAAACAAAAACATAAAAATTGTTTATGGTGGACAGTACCTTAGCAAACTAAAGGTCCTCCAGTTAGGACTGAGATTTGCTTTAAAGGCATTATAACACTTTTTACTTGCACCTTGTGTTTTTCCACCTGCATAGGATTATAAACTCCTAGATTGTAAGCTCTAACAAGCAGAGCCCTCTGTTTCCTCTTGTACAAAATTGTATTGTAACTGTTATGTCTACCTTCATTTTGTAAAGCACTGTGCAAACTGTTGGCACTATATAAATGCTGTATAATAATAATAATAATAAGATGTGCAGAATAAATATTCACATTAATTTGTCAGCAGTTTCTGTTTGTTTTAAAACATGAACATGTGGAATGGCAGGTTAATGCATGACCTCTGTCTGTAGTCTAGGAACTCACACTTACTGTGAAGAAACTATATATTCCACAATTCCTTGGTTTCTCAGTCCAGCATTGGTGCAGGTGAGAACTAAATAGTAATATGAATTAACAATGATACAAACAGGAAGTTCACCAGAAATTGGTGAGCAAACAGAGTTCACCATGCTGTGCTTTCATCGCATTAGCACTCCCACATTTGTGATGCACACAGAGCAGATGGCAAGGCATAGATTGGATGCTGCATGACCCAGAACAAGTAGTTGGTTGTCTCTTTGGGGAACAGGGACAAGCTAGTGAATGAATACATGGTTATAGGGAAACAGTCAGCCATGACTCTGCAAACTGCAACCACAGCATCTGAGCCCATCATGCAAAGTGGGGCAAAACAGCAAAGAGCATATACACTTAGCCCCAGTTTTGGTGTGACTTGTCATATGACAGATCAAAGTCGGAGCTATGGAACTATTCAAATCAGTGCAGCTCTGAGTTGCAGCAACTTTGAGCATGTTCCTGCACTATTATCTGTGATTCCATGTGTGACTTGCATTGACATCTGTGTATGAAGTTGCATAGATGTCGGCAAGGCCAAGATAGCGGTTTTGAAATCACGCTGAATAGTGTGCATTCTGTGTGAACCTAATACCTAGTTAAAACAACACACAATTGAAAGTTTGCAATGTCTTTCACTTTTATTTCTGTAACCACTAGCCTACAGGGCACTTATACCCCCTTCCTGCCCAGGCCAATTTCCAGCTTTCAGCGCTGTCGCACTTTGAATGACAATTGCGTAGTCAAACAACACTGTACCCATATGAAATTTTTATAATTTTTTTGTGAAAAATAGAGCTTTATTGTGGTGGTATTTAATCACCTCTGGGTTTTTTATTTTTTTTTAAACAAACCAAAAACCACTGAAAATTTTGAAAAAAAAAATTTTTCTTAGTTTTTGTTATAAAATTTTGTAAATAAGTGATTTTTCTCCTTCACTGATGTGCGCTAATAAGGCTGCACTGATGGGCACTGATAGGCTGCACTGATCGACACTGATAGGTGGCACTGATGGGCACTGATGAGGAGGCACTGGTAGGTGGCACTGATGGGCATTGACAGGCATCACTGATGGGCGCTGAAAGGCAGCACTGATACAGGCTACTGATACATGGCACTGATAGGCGTCACTGACTGGCACTGATAGGCAGCACTGGTTGGCACTGATGGGCACTGATAGGCACTGGCACTGACACTGTTAGGCGGCACTGGTTGGCACTGATAGGCGGCACTGACCGGCACTGATAGGCGTCACTGACTGGCACTGATAGGCAGCACTGACTGGCACTGATAGGTGGCACTGATTTGCAGCACTGATAGGTGGAACTGATTGGCATTGATAGGTGGCACTGATTTGCACTGATGGGTGACACTGAAAGGCAGCTCAGATGGGCACTGATATGTGGCATTGATGTGCACTGGTAGGCACTGATATGTGGCACTGATGGGCACTGACACGAGGCACTGATGAGCACTGACATAAGACACTGATGGACACTGACAGGTGGCACTGCTTGGGCTACACTGATCATCAGGGCACACTGATCATCAGTGCCCTGATGATCAGTGTACATGTCCCCTCCGCAGAAAGCCGATTACCAGCTCTCCTCTCCTCTCGAGCTGTCAGCGTGACCGTTCGAGAGGAGAGAAAATGCCGATAACCGACATTTCCATGTTTACATGTGATCAGCTGTGATTGGACACAGCTGATCACATGACCGAGCCGACATCTTCGGCTCTTTCCGTGATCGGTGATCCACTGTGTCCGAGGGACACAGCGCACCCCCGATCACCACGCTGCACACTCCCTGAGCCACGCATGCGCAGTGACAATGGGAGGACGTCATATGACGTCCTCCCAGAACGAGAGAACCACTTTGCACCCGTCATATTACTATATGGCGGGCGGGAGGTGGTTACAAAATGAACAAAGTATTAACTTTCTTATGGTCATTTATTAGTATTCGATTAGTATTAGTATATTAGTATTAGATTCATAAAGCTAAACAAAAGTGTGTTAATTGCCATACTAGATTGTTGTGACATGCACAGACTTTTATAAACGTAGTTCATAAAGGTTTTATCTTGCCTGACTAGTATTCTAACACTTCTACCGCATGCTGCTCTCTAAGATGTCAAGACACATTAGGACATCAGTGGTGAAATTCATTTCTAAAAATGGGTTTTCTCAAGTGGACATCATGCTGCTTCATAATTCTGCTTGGTTTTATCACACTTAACATGTGTTTCTTGCCAACTGTTTCTCTCTCTCTGACAACCGTTAATGTGAAATGTCTGTGCTCGTATGGACATTTCTGCACTTTTGCTGGTGGATGTTTGTTGAATTTATGCAGTATTAATAGGTGTTCTAAAAGAACAATTTTATATTTGAGGGTAAACAGATGGTATATTAAAGTGTATGTAGAGGCAAATTTTTCTGGATAAAGTGAGCAAGGGTTAGAACCTCTGTCAAGTTTTTATTGTTGTCTATGTCAATTGGGGAGATTTACCCTCTATTTGTCCTTGTAACCAAAACAGAAAATAAGGTAAAAAAAAAAATTTTAGAATTGTCACTAGAGCAAGAGGTGATAAATAAATCTTGCAATAGGAACACGTGAACACTGACATCCGTATAATAGTTAAATGCCCCTCTTATCCTGTTAAGTCTCTGGCACAGAAAGAAAAAAAGGAAATCTCCCTTATGGGAAAAAGACAACAAAACATAACTGGCAGAGTTTTAATCCTTCCCTATCTAAAAGAAAAACGTGTTTTTGCTATACATACCCTTAAAAGAGCCACTAAAGATACAATATACTGTATACTTTTCAAAACTAGATTATCTAAAAGCACTTTCAGGAAAAATAAATGTGCGTATTACGATTTTTTTTAAATGTTAACATTTTGTTTAAAGCGTTAGTGAGCTTTATAGTAAATCTACAGTTTGCCTTTTTCCTCTGACCTAACCTAGCCACCCCCCTGCAAATATCTACTTACGTCAAGTCTGCAAGTCTTCACTGTCTTGGCTGCACTTGTGCAATGCAGCCCCATAGATTTTTATGGTACCATCTCCAAGCATCTCCAGACTCAGCTTACAGCCCCATAAAAAGTGTATGGGTGTATGGGGCACTAGTGCTCAACCATGGACTGGAAAGTGAAGATGTGCACTGCTGGATGTAAACAAATAGCAGAACCACAGCTAGTGGAAAAAAGTAAGTATGCATCTGTGAAGGGGAAATCAGGTTAGAAAAAATGGTTAATTTCTCTTTGATTTAAAATGCAGTTATTCTTTAACCACTTGCCCTCCAGAGGATTTACCCCCCTTCCTGACCAGGCCATTTTGTTCGATATGGCGCTGCGTTACTTTAACTGACAATTGCGCAGTCATGCAACACTGTAATTAAACAAAAAATGTATGTCCTTTTTTCCCCAAAATAGAGCTTTCTTTCAGTGGTATTTGATCACCAGTGTGTTTTTTATTTTTTGAGCTATAAACAAAAAAGACTGACAATTTTGAAAAAAAACCAATATTTTTGACTTTCTGCTATAAAACATATCCAGTAAAAAATTTTAAAAATCTAATTTCTTCATAAATTTAGACCAAAATGTATTCTGCTACATGTCTTTGCTAAAAAAAATCCCAATACATGTAAATTAATTGGTTTATGTGAAAGCTATAGCGTCTACAAATGGTGGTATAGTATACTGGAATTTAAAAACAATAACATTTTATACTAGTAATGACGGTGATCAGAGACTTATAGCGGGACTGCAGGACCACGGTGGGCATTCTGTCACTGGGTACAAACTAACTGCCACTGACATTCCAATTGCACTAATACAGTGATCCGTGCTAATAGAAAGCACTGACACTGTACTAATGGCACTGCACAGGAAGGGGCTAACATCTGGGGCGATCCAAGGGTTAACTGTGTGCTGTGTGCTGTTATACTGTGTGTGCTGTGTGTGTTTTACTAGGGAAACATACTGCTGTGTATTTATTTGCATGTTATTGCTGGCAGGAGAGAGACCTGGTGGGGAATCTCCGGCCAGGATCTGGTGATCAACATCTGAAACCGCCAAAGGCAGTGCGGGCAGGGCAGCGCAGACACGCGCGCCCCCTACAGGTAATGCAAAACCACGTGTATATACGTGATTTTGCACAGCCCAGCCACTCTGTAGCAGTACTTATGCTAAAGGGCAGTTGGAAAGCTATTAAAGAAGAACTCCGGGATAGGAAATAAATCACCCATTAGTACACCTCCCCTACACAAAACACTAAATAGTTAATACATTTGTGAAATTGCTTCTCTTTGAGGAGAAAAGTCTATGAATTTTTAGGAAGTTTTCAGTGTAATTCAAAAGATAACAGCATCTGCTCTGCCAAGGAGGAGGTGTAATGGGGATTACATCATATCCTCTCCTCTCTCTCTACAGTAAAAGGAAACTACAGTTCCCATCCACCTGTAGGAATTGCACTAAATGTGGGCGGGTACACTAGGCCTGTACATGTTCAGTGTGTACTCACCCGTTTCAAAATATATCACGCCTTTCATTCTCCAGCCACAATGCTCAGCACAACACAGCAGGACAGTTAGGTGACAATCTTATAAGTGTAAAGCATGCACGTGCAAAATGTTTAGTTCATTCTATGTAGTCTATTTTAATTCAATATTTAATTATCCCTCCTCTAGGTTTTCTGTTACTGGCTGTGGCTGCTATCCTTGCATGCGATCTCTCCCCCTCCAGCCACAACAGTAGATACGCTAATTGATCAGAGACTGTAGCCACACTACAGTCGATGATTTGAAAATTATCCCATGGGGTCACAGACAAGAACACATTTATACAGCAAGGAAGGCATTGAACCTCTGACAATGGTTTTATGGCTGTTACTGTACCAGGGTAAGGAATTGGGGGAAAGTCTCCCTTCAGTGGGGCCACAGAAACAGGAAGTATCCCTCCAGTGGGGTCACACAAACAGGAAGTCTTGCACCTGTGGGGTCACAGAAACAAGAAGGATCTTTCCAGTGGGGCCACAGAAACAGAAAGTCTCCCTCCAGTTATGTCACAAAAAAACAGGAAGGATTCCTCCAGTAGGGTCACAGAAACAGGAATTATCCCACCAGTGGGGTCACAGGGACACAAATTGTTGGGAAGACTCCTTCCATTGGTGTCACAGAAACAAAGCAAGGGGAAGACTCCCTCCAGTGATGTCACAGAAACAGGAAGTCTCCCTCCAGTGGTGTCATAGGGACAGGAAGTGAGTGTAAGTCTCCCTACAGTTGGGTAACAGAAACAGGAAGTCTCCCTCCAGTGGGGCCACAGGGTCAGGAAGTGAGGGAAAGTCTTCCTCCGTTGGGGTCACATATACAGGAAGTCTCCCTCTAGTGGGGTCACAGAAGCAGGAAGACTCTCTCCATTTGTGTCACAGAAACATGAAGTCTCCCTACAGTGGCATTATAGAAACAAGAAGTCAACCTACAGTGGGGTCATATGATAAGGAAGTGAGGGGAAGACCCCCTCTAGTGGTGTCACAGGGACAGCAAGTGAGGGAAAATTCTCCTACCGGTGGGGTCATAGAAACAGGAAGTCTCCCCCCCAATGGGGTCACAGGAACAGGAGGTCTCCCTCCAGTGGGGGTCACAGAAACAGGAAGTTTCCCACCAGTGGGGTCACAGAAACAGGACGTCTCCCTCCAGTGGAGTCACAGAAAAAGGAAGTCTCCCTTCAGTGAGGTCACTGGACACAAATTGTTGGGAAGGCTCTTTCCATTGGTGTCACAGAAACACAAAGCGAAGGCAAGACTCCCTCCAGTGATGTCACATAAGCAGGAAGTCTCCAGTTGTGTCATAGGGAAAGGAAGTGGGGGGACTTCTCTCTCCAGTGGGGTCATAGAAACAGAAAGTTTCTCTCCAGTGGGGTCACAGGGTCAGGAAGTGAGAAGAAGTCTCCCTCCAGTGGGGTCACAGGAACAGGAAGTGAGGGGAAGTTTCTCTCCAGTGGTGGGACTCCCTCTGCGCACCTGTTCAATTGCTGTACCCCCTCTGCACACCTGTTCCATCACTATACTCTCTTTGCACACATGTTCCATCGCTGTACCCTCTCCTCACACATCTTATATCGATGTACACTATCTGCACACATGTTCCTTCGCTGTCCTCTCTCTGCACATATTCCATCTCTGTACTCTCTCTGCACATGTTCCATCACTGTACCCCCTCTGCACACGTTTCATCCCCGTATCTCCTCTGCACACATTCCCTATCCTTGTATCTCCTCTGCATACATGTTCCGTGGCTGTACTCTCTCTGCACACATGTTCCATCACTGTACTCTCTTTGTACTCATGTTCCGTCACTGTACCCCCTCTACATACCTGTTCCATCACTGTACTCTCTTTGCACACATGTTCCATCATAGTATTCTTTTTGCACACATTCCATCTCTGTACTCTCTCTGCACACATGTTGCATCGCTGTACCCCCTCTGCACACATGTTTCATCCCCATATCTCCTCTGCACACAATCTCTATCCTTGTATCTCCTCTGCATACATGTTCCATTGCTGTACTCTCTCTGCACACACATGTTCCATCACTGTACTCTCTCTGTACACATTCCATCACTGTACTCTCTCTGCACACATTCCATCACTGCACTCTCTCTGCACACATGTTCTATTGCTGTACCCCCTCTGCACA